AAAGTGAGACCTTGACTATCTTTGCTATTAACGGGAAGCGAGATTTTTACTTATCTGATTGTCTTGCCTGCGATGAAAGTCGCGAAGGCGGCGTAAACTACTATTTGTTTCCGAGGTCAGCATACCTGGAGGCTTTATACCTGGTATACAGATGCCTTATGTTACGACGTTTACGTTTGTCATATGTCCATTGTCATTGACTTCATTTTCATGGTAAGTCATAAGACATAAAGCTTTACTCAAAGTCGGTACATATACAAAACAATTACAAACATAAGATCTGAAGAGCTATTAAAACCGACAAAACAAATGCACAACAAACAAAATATACACATCAAGTCATGCACATATACAATTAAATATAGAAAGCAAGAGTTCATATTATGCATACATACAACACAAAAGTTCCACCAAGCTGCTCAAACACACACTGAAGCATGCACTTATGGGGTAAAAACACAAAAGTAAAAGGGTTTGCAACATTTAAAAAAGCACATAGCGATTAGTCAAGTAACTAAAATAAGCACAATATAGCAGAAGCACTATTAGCAACAAAAACAAAATTTGCCATGCTGAAAATAAAGCAATAAACTATAAAAACAAAGAAAAGAATTAACTGGTTTTGCAGGCAAAATATTGGCATGAGCTGCCAGACAAAGAATTTACAAAGTTCTTGAATTGATTTAAAGATGATTGCTTACGCAACTCATCTGGCAGGCTGCCTGCCAGCTCATTCCAAAGTTTAGCAACCGCATACCATAAGATTGTAGGCCATATGCAGTTGTTCTTACATGTGGTAAGTCTGTTGTATTCGGGTATCTAAAGATAAACAGGACATTATTAATAATTTTGAAAACTTCAATAGCCAATGATCTCATTCTTCTTATTTTCAAAGATGGTAATTTTGATTTGCAGAGTAGATCTTCATAACTTGCTGAATAGTCTTCATAAATAAATCTTACAGCTCTCTCTCTTGAATTTTCTCTATCTTTTTTGTATTTACTTCCCCACAAGTGCCCAACTAGTGGACCAGCTTGAATAAAAAAATGTTTAGTTTTTTTGTCGCGAATTTCTCACTTATTATGAGTAATAGGATAATTACATTTGATATATGGGTTCCTTGAAAAGTCTACGTGTCCGTCAGATAGGGTTCACCTGCCCTTGACATAATTTAATGGATCAGTGATTAAGGTTAAAGTCTGGCAGGTATCATCTGTACTTGACCTCATTGTCATAATTCATTGGTCAATGTTAAGTTTCAGTAGTTTAGTTCTCTTTTAAGATACTATAAGCAAAATGTCAACTATATTTGGTACATGGAATGATTGTAAGGTGTACTAGAAGGTCTGGCAGGGCTCATCTGGCCTTGACCTCATTTACATGGTTTATAAGTTAATGTTAAGTTTTCCTGGTTAAAACAGTTCCTTAAATACTGTAAGCAAAGGCCAACTGTATTTGGTGCATGGAATAATGGTAAGGTGTACACGTCTGTCTGCCATGTATTATCTGACCATGACCTCATTTTCATGTTACATTGGTCAATATTATTTTCATGTTTTGGTCCGTTTCTTGTATACTATAAGCAATAGGTCAAAGTTCCCTATATTTGGTGTATAGAATGACTGTAAGGTGTACATATGTCTGTTTGGTTTATTATTCCTCGACCTCATTGTCATGGATCGTTGATAATGTTAAGTTTATGTGATACATGTAGTAAAACTTCATTTTTAAGGTATATATATAAATCAACATAAAATCGATCATGGTCAGTAAAGCAGAAGAGACATTTAAGTATGTGCACTCTTGTTGTTTTTATTAGTATTTAAGCCTATTCTATTTAATTCTACAAAATATGCAAACATGGGTAAAAATCAACTTTCAAGGGCAGTAACTCCTCTAAGATTAACTGTCCTAACTTATTTGTAGATCTTATTTTGCTGAACATTTTAACTATACTTTGTCGCTCTCTATCATAGTTTTTTGCAAAATAATCATGAAATGGGTAAAAGAAATGTTATTCAAGGGCAATAACTCTGTAAGGAGTCAGTTAACAATTTCAGTCATTTAAAAAAATTGTAGATCTTATTGTGGTTATAATCTTTGCTACCTATTGTAGTTTCTGCAAAAATGGATAAAAGTCATCTTTCAAAGTTAAGGATTCAATTAACAATTCCAGCCAAGTTGGCTTATTTGAAGATCTTTATTTGCTGAACATTTTTGCATTGACAATTTCTTTCTATCATTTATGGTTTCTCTAAAAAAATTCTTTGAAGGACAAAAACTCCTGTAAGGGGTCAATTTACAATTCACTCATATCGACTTATTAGTAGATCTTATTTTGCTGAAATCTTACAATTGAAAGACTCTCTCTTCTGAAGTTTTCACAAAAATTACGAGAAAGGATAAAAAATCAAAATTCAAATGCAATAAAATTCCTCTATTGGGGTCAATTGACAATTTCTGTCATATTGTATATTTGTAGATCTTATTGTTCTGGTTGTTTTTTCATTTAAAATTTCTCTCCATCTGTTATTCTTTTTGATATAAGCAAAACAAGAGTGCACACGCTGAAATGTCTCACCTGTTTTACTTATCATTGAATTTATGTTGCAAGTCTGTTAAATGAAGGTTTTACTACAAGTTAAGTATCACATAAACTTAACATTGACCAATGATCCATGAAATTGAGGTCAAGGTCAGATGAAACCTGGCAGACAGACTAGAATCTGAGAAATAGACTAAACCACAAAAACTAAACGAGGCTCAATGAACCCTGAAATTGAGGTCAAGGTCAATTGAAATCTGTCAGTCAGACATGTACCCCTTACAATCATTCCATACACCAAATATAGTTGACCTATTGCTTATAATATCTGAGAAATAGACTAAACCACAAAAACTAAACTTGTTCAATGAACCATGAAATTGAGGTCAAGATCAGATGAAATCTGTCAGTCGGACATGTACCCCTTACAATCATTCCATACACCAAATATATTTGACCTATTGCTTACAGTATCTGAGATACACACTTAACCATGTAACTTTAACCTTGGTCACTGATGGAATAAGGTTGAGGTCAGCTGAACCCTACCTGACAGACATGTAGACGTTGCAAGGAACCCATATACCAAATATGGTTATCCTATTACTCATAATAAGTATTTCACTTAACAAAATTTTTTATCGAGCAGTCACTGAACCATAAAACTGAGGTCAAGGGTAATGGACATATGACAGATGGAAAATACATACATAAGGTATCTGCATACGAGGTAGGAAGCATCCAGGTATTCTACCTTCTGAAATATACATCTTTAAACAAAAAGTTTACGGCATCGCTGGATTGTTACACCTATGTCTTGCATACTGCGACTTTTGTTGCAGGAGAGACAAAAACTGTGAGGTGCTAAAATGGTCATTTCAGGGGCAGTAACTCCAAAATGGGTTGTCAGAGATTTCTTTAAATACCATAAATTGATCTTTACCTGTTGATAGTTTTACCCAGCTAGTTTTCTCTTAATGCTTAAGTTAAGGAGATATAAGCCAAAAACTGCATTTTACTCCCTATGTTCTTTTTTTAGCAGCAGTGACCATGTTTTATGATGGATCTAATCCCCTTAACAAATTTAAAACAACATTCCCTAAGGAATTTTCAGGTAAAATTAATTAAGACTTGGCCCAGTATTTCAGATGATTTGTTTAAAAAGGCTATGACAAGAGATGAACTACGGCAGATGATGACTGTTACCAAGTGATGGCAAAAGCTCAGGTAAGCTAATAATAACCAAAAACTTTGAAATTGGCTAAAAACTGACATGTCATGAGCAAAAATTCCAAACTAGACTGTCTGATTCTTCAGAAAATTTCATAGGTGATAGACCTTGACCTTCTGATCAATCTGATACTGTAAGTTTTATTGCTTTCTTTTTGGAGATTTAATCCAAAAACGGCATTTTCCCCAATTTTTTAAGCATCAGGGGCCATGTTTGTTGATCAATCAAAGCCCCTAAAACAATTTCATATGAAAGTTTCATGGATTCCTGAAGGACCATTCAGGTAAACATTTGGTGTAATCTTTCCTATTTTTTTTTCAGAAATATTTTTTACAATGATGGACAATTATGGAAGAACTAAAACAAAGGATGCCAAGTGATGGCAAAAGCTCACTTGGCCTTTTAGTATAAGTCGTATCACCAACTAATTTTTCATATGTTCTTCAATTATACTTTTAAATACAATAAAAACTGTATTTGCTAGCCCTTCTGAGCAAAAAGAAAACAGTAATAGTAACAGATATACTGTAAATTCAGAAATTATTGTGATGAATGCAACAGTATCTGGTTCGCAAAAATAAAAACTCATGTTCATAATTTTTCAGTAATCATTGATTCGCAATAATAAAAAAATACACTATATAACTGATAATGAATTCTGAATTTACTATTTTTATGATGATGTTGACCATGACAGCACTAATGATGATGACAAAGATGATGAACATGATGATGGATGGTTGTTTTAACATCCAGTGGCAAATTACATGGAATTAAATGCATATTCGGGACAAGGACATGTTTTTATATGAATATCTTTGTACCAGACTGACACACTGAGCCAGTTTTGAAACCTATTTCTTCACCAGGTAACAGTTGCAGAAAGATACGACAACCTACCAAGACACATTATTCTGACTCTGAGCGTACAAGTGTTTATTCTTACTCCTAAATACAATGTGCTGAGCAGAGGTGCAGCCTTTACCAATTTTCAAGTTTGATTTGATCTTGTGGGGATCAAAATCACAACCTATTGTACTTATTGAGTATGCTTCAACGAGATCACAAAGACTCTGAACTTAATTGACCAGTTTTTGCTTTTACTGTGTAATTCTGTAGGCTTGGGGAGTCTTGAACAAACCAGGGATCCCAACCAGGGCCTCTCATATTATAAGAGAGAAATTAGACCACACAGGCAGTTGACCATCACACAGTCCAAATATATTTAGCAAAAGTATAATATTTTTAATAATAATGTAAAACATCATAAGTCTATGAAATTTATAATCTCTAACGGTCCATATAACACATCCACGAGGTAGCCATTCATCATCTGGCATTACCATCTCAGAAATCCAGCAACTGACAAAAAATAATGTCTTTTTGTAAATATACATAACTGACAAAAAATAATATCTTTTTGTAATTATACATAACAAAATAATCACACAATAAACAATTCCATACCAATTAGAAGCATTTTTTTTTACTATTCAAGGTACATTAAGATATGTTGATTCTCAGTCAAATTAACTTTTCATTTTTTTCTATTCAACTATTCACCCACTTAATGTAATAGTGTAGTTTTAATTCATTTTACCAAAAGATAAAGTGTAAAATGAAATGATTTGGTTCTGGTTATGAGCCTGGCAATGGGTAGGTTGTACCAGGTAGATATTTGTTTGTTTTTAAGTTTTGTATTTGATCAATGTTCTCTTTGTATTGATACTGGTGGTATAAGTAGAAGGCATAAATTATGTTCTACAGCCACTGGTATCAATGGAATGCTTGAAATGTGAGTTTTTCTGTGAGTATTGCTGTGTGTTTGTTTATTCCAAATTGGCAAGAGGTATAGGGGGAAGGTTGAGATCTCACAAAATATGTTTAACCCCGCCACATTTTTGCGCCTGTCCCAAGTTAGGAACCTCTAGCCTTAATTAGTTTTGTGTGTTTTTTAAATTTTGGTATTTATATGTTTCAGAGTTTAGTGTGGCATCCATTTGCCTGAACTAGTATACATATTGTTTAGGGGCCAGCTGAAGTTGTCTCTGGGTGTGGGATTTTCTCGCTGCATTGAAGACCCACTAGTGGCCTTGGGCTGTTTTCTGCTCTTGGTCAAGTTGTTGTTTCTTTGACACATTCCCTGTTTCCATTCTCAATTATATTTACAATATTTTAACAGACTAGTATAACCACTTTTTGCATTATATACATGATGTAATACAATAACATAATGTTACTGTAAACAGATAAAATACATTTAAACTTACAAGTTGTGGAAGAATTTTTTCAAGATGTTCAATTGACACTGTGGTAGTGCTGTCTTTCTGAAAAAAATGCATTTTAAATTTAAGTGTTTACATAAATGTTATGACTGTCAACACAATTATATCTCCCTCCCAACTGCCCCAGCACACAGTAGTTCATAGTGTTTGAAGAGCATTTATTTCCTTTTTTATTTTAGTGACGAAATGAGATATTCCTGTCTCATCAAATTTGTGTCATTAAGCATACCTCTCCTATGATTTTTGAACTCTTTTAAATCTCTTGACATTAATGGACAAGAAAGGGAAGCTAAAACCATTGGTAAGTTTAACCTCATGGACTCTGAGTGAGTTATACATGCAGGCCACGTTTGTGAAAGAAGCTTCATAATTAGCCATAAAAAAATGTGAACGTTTTTGTAAATCTGTAGATTTTCACTTATTCACATGATGAATAATGTTCCAAAACAAAAAGAAAACCTTTTTTTATTATCAACCTGATCAAGTATATCATATAACTCACCTCTGCTTCCTTGCAGGACCTCATAATTGCCTCTGAAAATGGCATATGAATCGAGAGTATTTAATCATATAAAAACACACATTTTTAATAGGCAATGCACAGGTTATCTTTTCAATGAAAAGGCTATCAGGTCATATTTTGGCAAGCTAAACTATATAAATATATATACATGTTTGTTAAGCATGTTAAGAGTACAACTACATTATCATAACCAATCCAAGCAAACAGACATTTTTACATGATAACTGTCACCATCTATTTGTTTCCAGTATTCCAAAGTAGTTCCCGACAGACCAAATTGACATAGAATATGTGTATTTTCGTAAACTAAAATAGTTTTACCTAACTGTCTTACAATTCAAACCAATGTACAATGTAACCACTTAAACAAACATAGTTTGTCTGTCCTTGTATAAAGTATATATATGTCAAGTTTTAAAAAATCTGCTTGAAGACATAAAAAAAGTTGAAATAAAATAATATGAACTTGAGTCACAGGGTAAATACTTTTTAAACTGCTAGGTCCATTATGAAATTAGAAGAAGTTTTTATAACAATGATATTATCTCATGAACAACATTCAATGAAATGAATCCCATTGGAAAAAAATTAGGAGCAAGTATCTCAAACATATGATTTTTATTTACAGCATCCACACCAAAGAATACAGAGACAAACTCATAACATGAGTTGACAAAAAATTATATGTAGCCGGAGAACACAATTCTTATAACAAGAGTGCACACGCTGAAATGTCTTGCCTGCTTTACTGACCATTGATTTTACTACAAGTATCACATAAACTTTACGTTTTTAAATATCCATGGCAATGAGGTCAAGGTCAAATCAATTCTGTCAGACAGACATGATGTTGTAAACCGAGCTCGGAATTTAGATACGATCCGGTTAACTTATCAATCCTTTAAATAAACTAAAAGGTTACCTATTCAACACTGTAATTAAATCTTTGAATATTATTTTTATTGGTATAAATATTGATTTTGTTATCAGTAAATTAAAACCATACTAAATATTACACATATGTACTTTCACGGTATTACAATCTGTCAAAACCTATAGTTTGGCATTGCACAAGGTCATGTTTTTCCCTGACTGTTAATGACATCTTTAACCTAAATCTATTGGATGTTGGATGTGTACTGATTGATATTTTAGTCTTAGATACATGATTTTTTTTATAAGTTGTTATTGGTTTTGAACTAGCTGTCAGTAAATGCGAGTACTCTCAGATCTGTACTTAGTGTCTCTATGTTGTGGGGATGTATAAGTACCCGTCCACGTCCACTCTGTGTTTTTGTTAGATGTATTTCTATTTGTATCCATCTGATGAGTTAAGCCTTTTTCAACTGATTTTTATAGTTTGTTCTTATGTTGTACTGTTACACCACTTTCCCAGGTTAGGGGAGGGTTGAGCACTAACAAACATGTTTAACTCCGCCACATTCTTTGTGTGCCTGTCCCTAGTCAGGAGCCTGTAGTTCAGTGGTTGTCGTTGGTTCATGTCTGTCATATTTGTTTTTCGTAAATTGTTTTGTTATAAATTAGGCTGTTAGTTTTCTCAATTGAATTGTTTCATGTCGGGGCCTTTTATAGACGACCATACAGTATGGATTTTTCTCATTGTTGAAGGCCGTACGGTTGCCTATTATTGCTTACATCCACTTCATTTGAACTTAGGTTGATAGTTGTCTCATTGATATTGATTGTTTTATGTGTAAATATTTAAAACGTGATAGATGTTTTATGACAATCAACATGTGACACTTTAATAAATAAATCTATTATTATTATTATTATTATTAATTACCAGTCGGTAAGCCGACCACCAAAACAAATAACTGTAACCGTAACCGTAATTTCCTATACTTTCACAATGTCAGACGACAGTTGTTTACAGTACCACAAAGTTAATTTTTGGTTGAGCATATTTTGAATATGGAACTAATAAGGTCTGAAAGCTAATAAATGGAATAAAAACAAGGTTGATTTAAGCTTTATGAGGTACCAATTTGTCTATGTGAGGTCCTGATTTGTCTAGAGGGTTTTGTCTTGGTGCCAAAGTGTCTTTCTCCGGTGCCAATTTGTCCTGGTGCCGATTTGTCTAGGTGCCGAACTATCTAGAATTCAAACTTAACATTGACCAATGAACCATGAAATTGAGGTGAAGGTCAAATCATAACTGCCAGACAGACATGTACACCTTACAATCATTCCATACACCAAATATATTTGACCTACTGCTTATAGTATTTAAAAAACCGACCAAAATACAAAAAACTAAACATTGACCAATGAACCATGAAAATGAGGTCAAGGTCGGATGATACCTACCAGACAGACATGAACACCTTTCAAGCATTCCATACACCAATTATAGCTGATTTATTGCTTATAGTACTTGAAAATCAGACCAAAACACAAAACAATTTACATTGAACCATGAAAATGAGATCAAGGTAAGATGAAACCTGCCAGACTAGCATGTACCCCTTACAATCATTCCATACACCATATATGGTTGACCTACTGCTTATAGTATCTGAGAAACTGACCTAATCATGTAACTCTAGCCTTAATTACTGTTCCATGAAATGAGGTTGAGGTCAGGTGAACTTTGTCTGAGGGACATGTAGATGTTGCAAGGAACCCATATACCAAATATAGTTATCCCATTACTCATAATAAGTGAGAAATTCACATGACAAAAATACAATAATTTTATTTCAAGCAGTCGCTGAACCATGAAAATGAGGTCAAGGACAATGCTCATATGACAGACGGAAACTTCACAACATAAGGTATCTGCATACCAGGTATGAAGCATCCAGGTCTTTTACCTTCTGAAATATAAAGCTTTATACAAATAGATTATGCCACCGCCGCCGCCGGATAGTAATACCTATGTCTTGCATACTGTGACTTTTGCACGTTACAAGTCTGGGTTCTTAGCGACTAAGCTAAAGAAGTATTTCCCTAGCTCAAACCCAAGTAAGTGATATATACAATGATACCACTAAGACCTTGATCTGAAACAATAAAATTTCCAGACTTGATCCCAGCACTGTTATTATTGATGTCAAGTTTACAAGAGTAATTTCTCCATAAAAGTAATGACAAATAATAAATACAAATATTTTTATCTGAAATCAACAAAAAAGGAACAATATATTGTGATCCAACTGATTTTCACAATTAAAAAATAACTAGAGTACATGTATGTTAAACTTGGATCTTCTATAAAATGCATCAAAATAAGGTTCGAAAGTTGCTAAAATAAATCACTCCGAATACAGCTGGAAAATGTGAATTACTAAAAAGGTATTTTAAGTTAGTTTGCAGTAGTTTACTCTTGTTTCAGGATGATTATGTAACCCCTGGTAATTATAAATGCTTAGAATATACCTCAGCTCTGAACAAAATTACCAGTATCTTTAATTACACTAACCTGTTATAAAGAGTCCAATCAGCTCCCTGGACAAATGTATAGCTTCATTAGTCACTGTTAGTTGTAAAATAAAACCAGATTAAAGTTGATAATAGAGTTGATATTTATCAGGTTTATTATTATCATGATTATATAACAATCATTTGACAATGGTAATATAAACTCCAACACAAACTTGATAAACAGTCAGGGGAATTACTGAAATAAGTGATTTATAAAATCACTTATTTAAGTAGCAAATTCGAAATTTTGTCACAAATTGTGATTTCACAGTTTTACCAAATTTTTAAACATATAGGTTTAGATTATATCTTATTATAAGTAAAATTGAAAAAAATGAACCTTTTGCTTCTTTTAAGTAGCAAGGTTTATGCCTTTGATGCAATCATTTAGCTGTAAATTCTATATTTGTTTTTAAAAATGCTATAATGAAGTGAAGGCTTTACATAATGAACTGATACTTTCTAAACAGATTTTTCCCAACAGTGAGAGTAATTTTTCCTGTAAAATTTAAGGTTTCATCTTACAGATTATGTAATAAAATTTTGCTGTTCGCGATCAAAATTTCACTGTTCGGGGTGTTGAAATAAGTTGCAGTAATTAAAATAATAATACTTAAATTTTTGAGAAAATAGAGGTATGATACTTAAACAAGTGATTTTCATGTCATTATCCCAGATTCAGTACAAGGTCATCACCTGACATGACCAGTCATCCTATCAACACAGATGTTGGTTCTAATAATTTTAGCAACATAATTAGTCCCTGGATCATTAGTATTGAATATTTAAAGCTACAATAAAATTAAATCACTTAGTCTAGTGATTTATTTGTACTTCCTAAATTTATAGATGATTATTAAAGAAAGACAACTCTTACTTCCAACATTTGTGGACAAAATGTTACTTGAATCAGTGATTTAGAAATCATTCATTTAAGTAAGTCTCCTGACTGATAAACATGATAAAAGCAGTGTTTTTCCTCACATGCTTAATTTTTTAAGTACATTTGCAGCAGGTTGATACATGTAAGTAGAATGAAGGTTGGTTTGTCGTTGGTTTATGTCTGTCATATTTGTTTTTTTTTCGTAAATTGTTTTGTTATAACTTAGGCTGTGAGTTTTTCTGTTTGAATTGTTTCACGATCACATTTTTTCATATCTGGCCTTTTATAGCCAACAATACTGTATGGGTTTTCTCATTGTTGAAGGCTGTATGGTGACCTATACTTGTTATATCCACTTATTTAAATTCAGTTGTCTCTTTGGCAGTCATACCACATCTTCTTAGTTGTAAATGGATAAGTAGAAAGAAGGACATGCAACATTAGTAAAGTTTTTATCAATAACTTTTATAACACAGAAAATAAGACAGCCAGAATAGTAAACAAGATAGCTATAGACTGTATTGCTATATGGGAATCAGCAACACTTGACTTATTGACGTCATACAACAATCATTTTTCCTTTGTGGTGTCAGACATTTTCTATTAATAATTGTGATGTCAAAATTTTAAGGGAGCCTTTGTGATGTCCAGTAATGGGGGACAAATTGTGATAAGGTGTATTTAACAAGGTATCAGAAAATTCCTGTAATGTACATGTAGCTGTACCTCCTTTTTTGCAATTATCACTATGAAACTTACTCTTTGTCTTCTCATCTTTGAAGAATGACTGTAAAATACACTGTATTGTTTTCTGAAATATAACAATTATTTGATATTAATTAATTACTTGATCATCATGGTCATGTTCTTGATAGATATTGTTATAAGCATGATAAGATACATAAATGCAATGTATTTAATGTCATTTTGTCTGTTTATAATAGTAATCAAACATATAAACCTTTACAATGCAATCCTCTTCTTATCTCATAATCTGATGATTTAAAAGTGCAATTTCAACATGCAAGTAGATTTTGCATCATGTTCATGGGATTAATGATCATTACATAATTGAGGGTTCATATATATATATATTTAAAATCTAGACACATTCTTTGTCTGCCTGTCAAAAGTCAGGATTCTGTAATCTAGTAAAATTTTGCTATTTGTTGCTAACTGCTTGTTATTCACTAAATTTTGTAGTATAAATTCATTTTGTCTTATATAGGTTATTATACAGGATGGGTCTTTTTTACTGTTGAAGGCTGTATGGAATACAAAGATTGTGTTTGTGCTACAGGGGGTGGTATGTAAACATGGTAAATAAAGGTACATATATGTGATGAAAATTAACGAGGGACTTCCTTGTTTTCTACATATAATTGGACTGTGCGCTAACATCCAACAACTCTAGTTAGTTCTAGAAAGGGCCTTAGGCTGTTACTAAACTTACCAATATGTCAAAGTAATCTGGGATTAGTCTGGGGGGACAAATAGAACATGTACATGTTCTATAATGCTAATTTTCATCTGTATAATTTTGTTACAATCAATAATTGTATACTAGAGTAATCATTTAAAAACAACATAACTAAGCAGGGACTGCATGTTAATGGGCAATAAATGCTGAAGGGAAAACAAAAGGCAAGAAGTCTAGAAACTAAAGTTGTTACACATCCTTTCTTCAGAGCCCCAATATACAGAAAAACCCTTTTTTAGATAATAAAATATAGTTAGCTGTGTCCGGGGATACAGGGACACGTACATGTGGCTTAAACAAATCAGTACTAATCTGAACACAACGTTATAAATATATATAAAAATTAAATTAAAAGTGGACACAAGTGGATACAGTGCTATTTCCTATACAAAACTTAAAGAAACAGGGGATACAGGCAGACACAGCTGGAAGCAGTGCTATTTCTATGCAAAAAAAATTATAAAAACTGGTGGCTACAGGCAGACACAGTGCTATTTCCTATATAAAACTTAAAGAAACAGGGGGCTACAGGAGGACACAAGTGGACACAGTGTAATTTTTATATAAAAATTACAGAAACAGGGGTCTACAGGTGGACACAACATTATTTCTGTATAAAACTTTAAGAAATAGGGGGCTACAGGCAGACACAAGTGGACATAACTTTATTTCTATATAAAACTTCTAGATACTGGTGGCTACAGGCGGACACAGCTGGACACAGTGCAATTTCTAAATATTTTAAGAAACAAAGGGATACAGGTGGACACAACGTTATTTCTATATAAAACTTATAGAAACTAGTGGCTACAGGCGGAAACAGCTGGACACATACTCAGTGCAATTTCTATATAAAGAAAATTGTATCTAAATAAAAATTTACATTTGTGGCATTTTACATTAGAAAACGATCGTGTGTATTAAAATAGCCTTTAAACTGAATTATTATTTTCAATATTTATAATTTATCATAGTGTCTGTGTGTCTGGCTACAAAATGCATGCCAACTATTTTTCGTACCGGAACCTTGCCATATATTCAGTCAGGGGACTTACTAGTCTAAATCACTGATTCAAGTAACATTATGTACATAGATAAGATAAGATAAGATATTTTATTTCCAATTATGGGCCCCAAAGGGCATAAACATTACAACATCAATAATTTTTTCATAATACAATACAAACAATGAGATAAAAAAAAAAAAAAAGTTAAACGAGAACTATTTAAGTTCTTAAAGACATAACGATAGGAAGTAAGAGTTGTCTTTCTTTAATAATCACCTATTAAAGTAGTACAAATTAATCACTAGACTAAGTGATTTAATTTTATTGTAGCTTTAAACATGCTAAATATAGAACACTAATGATCCAGGGACTAATTATGTTGCTAAAATTATCAGAACCAACATCTGTGTTGATAGGATGACCGGGTCATATCAGGTGATGACCTTGTACTAAATTTAGGATAATGACATAAAAATCACTTTTTTAAGTATCATACCTCAATTTCCTTCCAAAAAATCACTTCTTTATGTATCATTATTTTAATAACCCCCACTAATTTACAACACCCCAGAACAGTGAAATTTTGATCGCGAACAGTAGAATTTTATTACATAATCTATAAGATGAAACCTTGAATTTTACAGGAAAAATACTCCCACTGCTGGGAAAAATCTGTTAAGAAACTCAAAGTATCAGTTCATTATGTAAAGCCATTTTTATAGCATTTGTTCAACTAAAATAGAATTTGCAGCTAAATGATTGCATCAAAGGCATAAACCTTGCTGCTTAAAAGAAGAAAAAGCTCACTTTTGTCAATTTTACTAATGAAAAGATATTAATTATTATCTAAACCTATGTGTTTAAAATTTTGGTAAAACTACAAAATCACAATTTGTGACAAAACTTCAAATTTGCTACTTAAATATTAAAGTGATTTAAAAATCACTTATTTCAATAAGTCCCCTGACTGATGGTTTTATGAATGAACAGCCCCGGTTGACCTGGGGTCAATTGGGGGAAAATGCGTCATTGGACAATGGTCATTTGGTGCATTCAAGGTAACTGTATAAGCCTCAGAATGCTCCTGTTACAGTGAATCTTTTACTTTTTGAAGAAGTATACATAAGTGGAATTCTATGCGACTGTCATACAAGTGAGAGGTTTAGCTAGCTATAAAACCAGGTTTAATCCACCATTTTCTACATAAGCCGATAAGGAAATGCCTGTACCAAGTCAGGAATATGACAGTTGTTTTTCCATTCGTTTGAGCTTTATATGCCATTTGATGAAAGACTTTCCGATTTGAATTTTCCTTGGAGTTCGGTATTTTTGTTATAAATTATACTTTTTATGAATGTCAGAATGAGCTTTCACTGTACAACACTGTCAACAGACAACAGTCATTTGGGACGAGTACATACTTTTTTAAAAAGGGCCCCGTATTCCTCAGTCATGGCAATCTTATACAGAAGTTGTTAGAGTAAAAGATGTCAGTGCTCATCCACTGGTAAGCTACTCATCTGACAAAATAGCGATAAGGTGTATTAGTGTCTAGGATTTTCGAATTTTCCGCCACTAACCGGATGTCATTAAAATAATTATAGACTCAATTTCGGTTGGGAATAATGTATCCGGACAAATTTTTTCACCAGCCGAACAAACTAAAACCTGTCCATTGTTGCACGACCAGGGATTTTAAGAGCAGAAATTTACTATTTCAATCATGTAAGCATGACAAATAAAGGTTACAACACCTACCCCAAAAACCAAAATAAATCAAAGCGCTTGATAGAAGATTGCCATTGTTTCCTTTGATTCCATTTGAATATAGTTTTTAAATTGTCATTCCCCATGGTTAAATGTATATGAAAAACATAATAATTCTTAAAATTTTAGCACTTCTTTTCTGTAATCTTTATATTTTAGCACTACTTTATTCTCTATTCTTTAATTTGTAGTTGAAACAAGAAACACATACATGCATTATATGTTATATTTAGTAAGTCTTATAAAAAATACAATAGCGTTTTATTAACGATATCTTTTTTGAAAGCATTTATCTTTTGTGGGGGGACTATTTTGGGGTTTTTTTGGGGGGAGGGGAGGAAATATCTAATAAATTGATGGTTTCTATCAAAAATTAGGGAAACACAAAATGCTGTTGAGTTAAAAAAAACAATGTAAAAATTAGGAGATGTGGTATGATTGCAAATGAAACAACTATCCACAATAGTTAAAATGAAGAGGATGTAGGCGATAATAGGCAATCGTACGGCCTTCAACAATGAGAAAAATCCATACCGTACAGTCGGCTATAAAAGGCCCCAACATGAAAATATGGATCATTTCAACTGAGAAAACTAGCGGCCTAATTTATAACAAAACAATTTACGAAAAACAAATATGACAGACATGAACATCGACAACCACTGAACTACAGGCTCCTGACTTTGGACAGGCACATAAAGAATGTGGCGGGGTTAAACATGTTTGTTAGCGCTCAACCCTCCCCTAACCAGGAACAGTGGTGTAACAGTACAACACAAGAACAAACTAAAAAATCAGTTGAAAAGGGCTTAACTCATCAGATCGATACAAAGCAGATAAACATCTATCAAAAACACAGACCGGACGTGGCTCGGTAAAACAAATGTTCCAGTATGTTATTGATTTTTTTTTTATTAATGTCGAACAAATGATTGTCCCGAGAACACCGCCATCCAATACACTCAAAAGATGAATGGTTGATGCCGAAATCATTCTAAAGGAATGTAAGACTGCGAAATTCTTTTGAGATTTCTCCTTGTATACAATATTTTACTAACTCTTTTGCCTCTACGTGGCTCAGTTTTAGATCATACTCCGTAATCGTTATAATATTTAACTGCATTAGACATATCCATGTCGATATCACCAAACACAACACATGTTCTTTATAATTGATACCAAACTTCGGCATTTGGTTTTAGATTGAATTCAGTTGGGCATTTCTTTCCTAAAAGCTGAAGATTTGACATGCATGGTAACATTACTGTATCATTGGTTTAGAAAGCAATAAAAAAATGGTATTCATATTCTAATCAGCATGTAGTTTATTAAAGCGTTTGGAGATAGATATTACACATAGTTTTCAATATTTACACCCCATTGATAAGTTGTAATAAATCACGTATGGTTAAAGCTAGGGTTAATTAACGACCAGTTAAAGCAGTTAAACCAATCTATGGGTCAATATCCGCTCTAGATAATCAGATTAAGTCACAATACATATCGCAAATACCGTTCTCATGGGTGTAGAATTAATCGCAACCAGAGAAGAAAATTTCGTACCAACAATATAAATATTTCGGACCAAGTTACTATTTCAAAAAACAACGGCAGACATTATTTGTTAACCAAGCTCTGTGCTTTACCTGTTAACAAACTACATCAAATTTTAGAGGATTGCAACACAATTCCATATTGCAGTCCTCAGTATGAAATCGTCCAAATTATAATTGCATATTGTTATTCTAAACTGTTTCCCAAAATTGATCGCCCTAAAGATCATAAACACATTTTATCAAAATCAAAAATGTCAATAAAGGTTTTGATTTTGTAAATATTGCCGGTATTTTTAATGATCATTCCGTTAAAGAACAAATTCCTGGCTATTTTGAGAATGCTGAGCTCCCTCTTATTTGTTACTAAACTATATATAAACATATTATTTTCGCGAACCATTTAGGTCACGGAAATTCCATTTTTGCTATCAGTAAGGAGAGTTGTACAAATAATGTGAACATGTAACAAAACATTTGTTCCGGTGTGACATTTGTTCCGCCGGAACAAATTTCATAGGAAATATGTTCCACCGGAATTTATATCACAGATAATATGTTCCAGCACTGTAAAATTTGTTCCGGAACTAATTTTTTGGCCAAATGTAAAATAAGTTCCGGAACAAAAATCATAGCTCCATGATTTTTGTTTCAATAATATAAAAAGTTTTAATTAAGTTACTGTGACATTTGTTTTAAACGAACATGTAAATATTTCATAGAAACTAATGAATAAGTTCCGCTCAATCATTATTGCACACCGAAACATTTTCTTGTTACACTTAAATTATAATGCAAGCTAAATGCTGTACTGAGTGTACTTGCATGGGATAAATTTGTAATTGAAGGCATGACTGTAACTATAGGATGAAGATAAGAAATAAAAGCGATGGTAATGTATCATAATTTGTATTTATGTTTTATGCGGTATTACTCCTTGGTTCCTGTTAACTGTCATGGCCCCGTGTTCTAGTCATACATGTACTTAGGATATGGCATAGTTTCAAAAGAGTGTGTCTTTTTTTTTTCCTACATGTCTTTTGATATTTATAAATGATCAAATCACTTTGTCCTTTTCAAATTAGTACATATGTTCCTCTTAAACTATACTTTTTTTCTGAATGATTTTTCTTATTCTTATCTTTTCTGGTTCAAAAGTGTCATTTAGATATTTTTTACAGAGTATATAATTAAACATTTCGGCTATACTCCATAGGATCCAAACTGGATGATTTACACTTTTTATCTATTATATTATTAATATACTACTTATTTTTATAATGCACTTGAATGATAACTTTAAACTCACTGATGACAAATGCTCAGTATATAAGATAACTTGTTTAACCAGTGAAACATATTTCACAGGCAAGGAACTTATTTCACCAGATGGGGAACAAATTTCACAAACTCAGAACTTATTTTACCAGGTAAGGAACAAATCTCATAAACCCGAAACTTATTTCACTAGGTAAGGAACAAATTTCACCAACCCGGTACTTATTTCACCAGGTAAAGGGTGGAACTTATTTTATAGAGATGGAACAAATTATATAGAAATTACCTGTGAAAAAAGTTCTCCCAGAACATATTTCCTGTGATATAAGTTCCACTGGAACTTTTTTCACAGGAACAAATTTTGGCTTACAAATACACAGAACCCCGATCCAATTCATCTTTTGCTAAAAATATTTATCATTTTCTGTTTTGTATCTCCTAACATCATTCCATCTTTCTCTAATTTCGATTAAAATATGCCAAAACCTGCAGTAAAAATAGACGTATGCCCCAAATAAACATTCCCCGATTGGTTGAACTACTATGGCGTTAATTGAGGTAAAGCAATGCAAGCCTCGATGTAAAGCAACGCCCTCGATGTAAAGCACACGCTTCCCAAGAGTAAGGAGAGTTGTACAAATAATGTGAATACACAGACCCCCGATCCAATTTATCTTTTGCTAAAAGTGTTCATCATTTTCTGTTTTGTATCTACCAACAACATTCCATTTTTCTATAATCCCGATTTAAACATGTCAAAACCTGCAGTAAAAATGGATGGGGAGCGTAGCTATAATCCGACACCCCGAAATTCCGACAGTCCAGTAGTCCGACAGACCGATAGTCCGACAGTCCGATAATCCGACAGTCCGTTAATCCGACAGTCCAATGGTCCGACACGAAGCCGTAGTGTACTGCTTCAAAGGATATGGATATTGTCTTCATATAAGTGTATTAGCATACTGCCGAAACGCGAGCATTTTTTTTAAATTTAAAAAGTGGAATGCGTTGTAATGGGATAACAATTAAATCCTATAATGTTTGAACAATTAATATAATATTCCATTCCTATTCATCATGCATGTCGATGTTGAGTGTCTGTTTACATACACGAGTATGCACGTGCATGTAACGTATAATGTGGTTGAATGTGATATGCCAAATGTATTGGATGTAAGCTTCTCATATCTGAGGCAGAGGCGGATTTAGAGGGGTCCCAGGGTGCCAGTCCCCCTTTTTTTGGGAAAAAATTTTGTTGATTATATAGTGAATCACTGAAGCATAACCACAGCGGGTCCCCTCTTAGGCAGTCATGCAGTTGGCCCCACTTATTAAAATTTCTGGATCCGCCACCGAGAGGGGCGTTCGTCCCGAAGATATGAAACGACTACATCGGATTGAATTACCTATATAAAAGAAATAATTTTTTTTTTCTCTTGTACTTAAAAGAGCAATTAGTTTTGATAAAATAGGAATAGTGTCATTATCTCAACTTATTTTCAAGATGCAGTAACACTTTCAGAAGATGTTTCATAATTCATGATTTGGAATGAAATCTTAATAAATTGCGTCTATTTCCTGTCATCAAAATTATACCTTATCACTACTCTTGACGTATGGCAATATAAATCGCTGTACTATCTAGTCTTTATCTGGTAATTTAATTGCCAAAACCTGACTTTTTCAGGTTTATAAATGATAACACTCTATGTAAATTATTAGTATATAATATGGACCTATAAGCATTCCTAGTTATAGAATCATCAGTACATGATACCAATTATGGGAAAAAGATAGGGAACAAAGATGGACAATGACGTGAAGACAGTACTTATTCAAACACAGCAGACAAAGCAGATATCAGAAGCAGATAGAGGTTAAGACCGATGGCTGCAGTGCTGAAGGTCCCGGGTTCGATACTGACTCCGGGTGCGAGACATTTCATTACTCAGAAGGGTGAATTTCACCCTCCATCTCACATC